AAATATTTTAAATTTTTACGATTACCAAGTTAATACTTTAATCTGAAAGTGGCTGCAGACCTGGACAAATTAGTTTGATCTGCACAAAAAATTGAATAAATAAATAAATACTCTATAAAAATATGACACCCTATTTTGTTTTTAGTAATACCAACATGTCTTTAATTTTTTTAATCAAAATATTTAGCAAAAAAAGTCATTAATAATATTTTTAATTATTTATAATATTTTTTCCAAAAAAATCAATTTAATTAAAAATTTATTACTCCATATTTAACACTCCTATATATAATATAAAAATTTAAAATTTAAAAAAAAAATAAAAATTATTTCTGTATGTGAGTAGAATTCGCCTAAGGCATCTCAATGAGGTGTTACCATTAAAACATTTAGATGTTCAAAGAGATGCCACAATAATATTTTTAAAGTAGGGCCTACAGTTAAGCATCTAATGAGAGGTGCTACCATTGTAGATGCTCTTACCCTTTGGTAAGACATTATTACCTTTTAATATCCGTAAACTTTTTAGGAGTTAATAAACTTTTGTTTATTAATTTTACACATGATACATTATTATCTTTTAAAGTGAAAATAAATTCTTGATCATTGATGAACTATTTTATGGAAATATATTATTTTTTGTTAGGCAAGTATTACGTTGCAATAGTAATAAAAAAAATAAAGCTAAGTAATAATTTAAATTACATGGAAATAGCATTTAAATATGGAACAATTTTTTTACATCACTACCTTATATAGCTTTCAATTTTACGTTAATGTATTACCTTTTATAAAGGTAATAAACTTTTGTTCATTAAATTCATTTACAGTACATTATTACCTTTTACAAAGAAAATGAATCTTCATAATCTTTTATGAAAGTTACTGTAATATACATTAATAAACTAAATATAAATAATAAAAATAAATAATGTCCTTATTTACTTTTTATATAATTACTTTAAATTATTATCTTTTTATGGAAATATATTATTTTTTATTAAAATAATAATATAAACAATAAGATAAAAATGGTAAAAATAATACTCCCTCTGTCCGGAATTAAACTTCCCATTTGGACTTTTTCCCATTTTTATGAAGTGTTGACTTTAAGATGGAAAAGTCCAAAATACCCTTCCCCCAATTGTCCCCACCCACTACCCCTGCCTTTTGCTCTCACCATTTCCGTCGATACCACTGCTACGGCAGATCCAAAACCGTCGTCGACCCCCCCACAATCGCCACAGCCCCACCACCACTGCAGCCCCTAGATCATCCCAGACCTTACAGATTTAGAAGACAAACAAATAGGAGAAAAAGGGGAATAAGAAGAGGAAAAAAGAAGATGAATTGATTTAGAGAAAGAAAAGAGGGATGAAAAAGAATTGGGGGGAGAAGAAAAAGAATAAGAAGAAGAAGAAAAAAGAGGAACGGATCTGGACGGAAAAAGGAGGACAAGAAAGAACGGAGGGGAGAAGGAGGAGGAGAAGAAGAAGAAGAAAAAGAAGAAGAAGGAATAGATCTGGAGAAAAAATAGGGTGAGAAAGAACTGGGGAAGAGGAAGAAGAAAAAGAAGAAGAAGAGTTGAAGAAGAAGAATTGAAGAAGAAGAAGAAGAATGAACGGATCTGCAGGAGGAACAATTGTGGAGAGAAGAAAAGAAGAAGAAGAAGAAGAAAAAGGGAAGAGAAAGGAAAGAGAGGAGAGAGGCGAGGAAGGGAGGAGAGAGAAAGGGGGAGGGGAGAGATAGGGTGAGAATTTGTAAGTAGGGGTATTTTGGGTAGTTAGTGTATAAAAAATTGAAATAGGAAGATTATTTCCGGACGGAGAAAAAGGAGAAATGGGAAGATTATTTCCGGACGGAGGGAGTAACAAAGAAAGATGAGTATGTAATTCATACATACATACATACACAGGGATAATCTTGTATCCTCAAATTAGCTAGGTAGTCTATCCAAATTCAAGTTCATAATCTCGTATCCTCAAATTCATACATACACATATTAAAATTCATAAGCATATGTATCTAACAATTAAAGGCCTCGTGTCAGGTGTAAACACCGTTCATTTACCGTCATGTAACACACAAGGCTTCAAAATCAATCCGAGATTCAAATCACAAACAAAAAACAAGAAGAAGGGCGGCTGGGGGTCTGTGATTGAATGTGGAATGGAGAAAAAGTAAATGGAATGAGTATAATGGTAGAAATACGGGATGTCAAATCCACGAGGATATCGTAATTGGTTAAGAGTTGAGCGCAAAGTATAACTAAGCACTAATATAAAATTGTTTATTGTGAATCAAGGCCTAAAAGAAAGAGAAGGGATGATATGTAAGGAAATGAACTAAACTAATGTAATGAGTGAATGCTTAAAATGAAATGCAAGAATTGAAACGAAAGCAAACCTAGGTTATGAATTTCATGTATATCATGCAAATTGCCAAGAAATAAGAGGAAAATTAGAAATCGACTAGGATGCAAGCAAATAACCCCAATTTCACTTCCATTAGAATCGAGAAAAGAATCTACTTGATAAAAACCTAATTATGTGACACTCGTCTAAAGGGAATCACAAACATGACAAATAAGCTCCTCAAGTATAGAATTGAGAGTTTTGACTTCCGTGGTTTAACTTTGTATGGAGTTTAACAAAAGTCAAATTGTGTAGTTGAAAAAAATGGTGCGTCACAAAAAAGCTTTTTAAAATAAAAAGGTGAAAAATTAATTTGGAATGTATAGAAAAGAAAATAAGAATGATTAATTTGGGATAGGTGAAATATAATTTGATCACCCATTATAGGACAATATCTTGACCGCGGGGGAGATTCTTTGTGCCTGTTTGGGAACAGCGTTAGCGATTAGCGTTAGCGTTTTGAAAAAGCTATCTACGGGCAGCGTTTAGCGTTAGCGTTTTCAAAGCGATCTGCACCGTTAAAATTTTATCCAAAACGCTAACGTTAGTCTTTAACGCTATTCCCAAACAGGCCCTTTACCTTTATTCATTTTTTATTACAAATCTCCATTATATTAGGCATGAAACTCTTCTGTATCCATTTTCAAATATCTAAAAGGTTTTTATAAAATGGGAAAGAATTTAACAAAAATTGAAAAACCTAACACAGTCACCCAGTATGTAGGTACTGGCAGGCATGATCCATTGACGTAACAATTTTCGTAAGAGAGCTATAGTGAGGACCGGACCCTCATATCGTTAGGATGGTACATAGCTACCATTTCAATGGTAAAGTTTCGCAAAATCCTAATTTTGAATTTAATCGATTTTAAATTCTACTCCTTTTGTCTCAATTTATGCGTTTTTTATTATTTATACGGTCAAGTTTTAATCATTTTTTTATTAATTTTCATTAGTCAAACGATAAAATAATATAGGTATGTCACTTCTTAATTTTTAGGTTTTTTCAAATATTTTTAAACATGTAAATTTTATTTATTGATTCTACCCCAAATCTACTGTAAATTAATTTGAAAGAAGTTTCAGTCAAACATCATAAACAACATGGAAATTAAAATGGGACCGGAATAGTAAAATATTGACTCCACAAAATAACACGTTTTAAATGGGAGCAAATAATAATAATAATAATAATAATAATAATAATAATAATAATAATAATAGTAGTAGTAGTAGTAGTAGTAGGAGCAGCATGTACGGTAATATAGTTTTCCCCCAAAAAAGTCCATGTAACGTATATGGACTCCGAAGTCCCAATTGCATGCATACAAGTTTTGCGTTAATATTAGAAAAGTGTGCATCTTATCATCCCACACCGGGTAAAGAAGAGAAAAGAAGCGGGGGCAGCAGTGTATAAATGCGGGCCAAGGGACACACAGCTTCATACTTACCTGGACGGGGTCAATGGGCGATCAGGAAGGCCCATGGCCTAGGTTGATGACTTCCATCGCACTTTGGAAGGGTGTCCGCCTAAGGTCTACCCAAGTGGTGGAGCCTACATCATAATTTGTGGCAGCGGGGGCCAGCGTTCGCGCGGCCCCTACCCAATCCTAGTAAGTATATACTGATTCTCGTATCCCACACCGACTAAAGAAAAGATAAGGAGCTGGGAGAGAATTGTATAAATACAGGCCAAGGGACACAACATTACATACTTACTAGGACGGGTCAATGGGCGATCTAGAAGATCCATGGCCTAGGTTGATGACTTCCATTGCACTTTGGAAGGGTGTCCCCTTAAGGTCTACCCAAGTGGTGGAGCGTCATAATTTGTGACAGGGGCATGTGTCCGCGCGGCCCCTACCCAATCCTCTTTCAAGCTTGATTATATTTTATTTTTTCATTGTTTCGTATTCATAGAAACTAATATAAAGCACTGGGTTAGGAGTAGTTGTCTTCAAAAACCCAATCAAACGAGTAGTTAGGTGTTAGAATTCGAATTGTGAACAATTTTTTAATTTTTTTATTACTTTCATACAAAGTGTTGTTTTAATAAATGTTTTTATACTTTAATAAAAGTAAATTCCATAAATGGTGCATCATAATTAGAGATGTTTCATGTGTAGTCTATTATTATCTGATATTATTGTCATAGTCAATTTGAATTGGGGTCCTTTCCTCGTTAATTTGATGATTTTATTGAAAACATCTTTATTTGTATTTCACTTACATAAATCTAAAAATCTAAATTTGTACGTACATCGTTCAGTTTTCATCTTCAGCAAAACATTTCAAATAATCTAAGAATGAAATGTGTGCCCCCTTTTTCCTTTTTCTATTTAAATAATCTAATCTCTGTATTTTTTAAAAACATATTTCCTTCTTTTTCCCCTCTGATTATACTCAAATTAAAATTAGTGTTACATATGTTTTTTTTCTTTCATGTACTTCATACTGGTTTTAATTTAATTATATTGTGGATTTTTTCAAAACCATGTAATTTATTACTCCAGGTAATTTCTAAATTAAATTTTTTTTGTGTATTTAATTCTTGTAATTAAAATGGGGAAAACAATTAATTAATCCAAAATAGGGAAAAATTTAATAACAGAATAATTTGACTAAACCCAAAAATAAATTTCAAACAATTTATAATACTATTTTATATAATATGGCATTTAACACATACTCGCAAGCTAACTCTCAACAACGAAAAATATTAGAAGTCAAAAAGAGCCACATATTAGAAGTCAAAATAAGCCACATAACCAACACCACATGTTGGCATCCTACGAGGGATTGCAGTTTGATATACATAAAATCTTAAAAAAAAAACAAGAGGATATTTATATTCATATTCGTGTATCATGCTTCCACTTCAAAGGCAATGCCGAGATAAGAACCCACAGGACAGATGCACTCTCTTTGATAATGAATCTGTATCTCAGGATGCTTCTTCAACACTCCATCATCATCTTCATCATCAACTCCTTCATATCCCCCAACCGTAAAACAAGTCAAGCGGGTCCCGTAATGACGTTCTGATCGATTAAGCTTACGCACATGTTTGACTTGTTCCAACGTATCGCCAACAACATCTTCTGCCATCATATACACGAGATTGTCCATCCAAAAAAGTCCCAACTTGTTCCCACCCTCCAAAGAACACAGCCTAGGGTCATACCTATCGTTATCTGATGAAGGAAGCAACCCAGCCTCAGCCATGTCAATCACACAACACTTGCCCTTTACCATATCCCACATCACCAGTTTGGTGCCAATATAACTATCCACCCAAAACATCCTTCCCTCACAAACTACTCCAGTAGCTCTTGGGCTAAAGCAGTAACATTTTTGAAGGATAGTTTTCATAACTTTACTAGTCATAACAAAACCAGTAGCCTCTTCTAATCCAACCCATTCTAAGCCCCGCACGGCTTTCTTACTTGTCTTTCTTCTCTTCCTCCTCCCATCATCGCAACAAATAACCCTACAAGAATCATCATCATCATCAAATGTAACACGCAATGCTATAAATCTACCCAACTTCATCAGACCAATGATGATGGTATCTTTCTCCTCAATGGCTCCACAGACAACGTATTTCGTCAAATAAGGTTCTTTTACCCATTTTCCTCCATCAATCTCAACTGGGTTGCTACTCACACCAATCCACCTGTTCTCATCCACGCTGTAGTACTCAACAAACGGGTGGGACGCAAAATAGTTTGGGTTCACTTGTCCACCTACTACAAATACTGTCCCTTTAAGGGTCACTACAGCACCGCATCTAGCACGTTCAGCACACATGTTGCTGGGTATGGAACTAAACTGACTGTCCCCACATTCATCACCACTCAGAGAAGGCTTCCAGCATACACCAAAATCAGGAATGCAGCTAGGGAGGCCTTTCTTTACATGGTCAGGTATCTCCACATAGCCACCAAAACAATAGAATTCGGAGCCAGAACAAACCATGAAAGCGCGCTCCTGGCAGTGATGGTAAGACGCCACTGGTTTTGCAGCCATTGCTTTGTTGAATTTAAAGACTTTCAATGTATTCCCCTTCTCCTGTGCTGCTGGTAGCGCACTCAAATCCATTACGCCATTGCCAGAGAATGCATACAAGTCTAGAATTGCTGCAAGCTCCTTTTCCGGCATATCTTCATAAGGTCTAGTATTCAACATTGCAAAATACACCCTCCTTCCACTACAAGACTTTGCTTTCCTGTCTCTGCATGTGTTGTAAATATCACCCAAAGCAAAACGAAAAATTACAAAGTGGATCAATCATCATCATCTATCATTACAATTGTTATTACTATTATTATTACTATTATTTCAAACTCTAAAAATTGAATCTCATTCTACTATAACTATATCCTGCTTCCCAGAAACAAACTTAAATTTATACCCGGAGTAGTAGAGAACAAACATTTAAAAAAAAAAAAATCTTTTAGCAGTACCCTTTCGCCAAGGGGGGTTTGATAAAGGGGAAAAAAAATTAAGTTTTAAGAAAAACTTCAAAAGCAGATTGCCTTTCAAATTTCACATGAAAATATTTCCAAAAGCATATCGGTTTGGGAAATAGAGAAGTCCAAGAAACGTTAGGGTTGTCTGTTCGGATCTGAATGTTAAAAACAAAACCCTAATATGTTTAAGAGTGTTCGGTTCAAAATAGGACATGGATTATTGAAGATTTTCTTTTAAACAGAGGGGAGAGATCCAGATAGAAGCTTACGTCGGACTCCTGGGAACGATGAGATCAGCGGATTCGCGCGTGGCGTCCTTCTCCGGCGGCGGCAGCGCCGCTGGGTGATTTGCATTTGAATTTGCAGCTTTGAGGTTTGGGATTGAAGGGACGGGGTTCATGCTTGTTTAAACTTAAAATAGGCACACCCCACCGACCTTGTGTTTTAAGGCTGCTTTTAAATAGGCCCGAGGATTGTAATATGGACCATGCTACACTCACACCAAAACATATATCTCATTTGTACACCATAGTTTTGCATAAACATTTTGATGGTTTGCACCGATACAAGTGTTGGTGCGTTAATAAAAATTCACACAAACACAAATGTTGGTGTGTTTAACAAAAATTATTTTTACACCAACACAAAGTGTTGGTGCAAAACTGCGGGGTACAAATTGGGGTACAATCCTTGGGGTACACATAGCATAATCCTTGCAATATTTGTTGTTTTTTGTTATTATTGTCTTTCTTACCCCCTGCCAATCCGGTCAATCAATTTAGATCTTTTCAATTTGGTCAGGTCAAATCGGTTCGGGTCTATTCATTTCAGGTCAATTCGGTTTCAGATTTATTTCAGTTTGAGTGGTTTTCGATTTCGGTTCGCTTTCCAATTTATATCAGTTTGAGTTTATAACGGTTTGAGTTTGTATCAATTCGGGTTTATATTGATTCAGATTTATATCGATTTATGTTTATATCAGTTCAGATATATCTTAAATATATGCTAACAAATCAATAATATCACATAATAAATTTTGTCTAGTTAAGACATACTCCGTAGTTATTTTATTACTCACTCTGTCCTATAATGATCTTCCCGGTTCGCAAAACGAAGAAAAATCCCAAGTTTTTTCAATCTATTTTATTTAAATATTGGTATAGAAATAAAAAATAAAACATACATATTTAAAAACTACATCAAAAGTTCAACAAAACATGTGGTGACAAGAATATTTTATTTTATCATATAGGCCATGAAAAAACACAAATAAATATAAATTCCCGTGAAGTTGGAATAGTGCTCTGGGACTGATATAAAATTTATATCGATTTATGGTGTCACACGGGCGCACATAAAAAATAGCATTTACATGTTCATAAGTTTTTGCCTAATGATTGTGACACCATTCATCATTTGAGTTTATGCTCTCGTATTATAGATAGTCTGTTAATTGAAATATTTAAAAAAGGAAAAATTTTATAATTGGTCCTTTATAACCGAGGGGTTTTCTTATTTAGTCCATTATTATCAAATATTATCCCGGTAATCCTTCTTTCATCGGTGTCTTTTCACAAATAGTTCTTTTTTATCTTCTATCATGTTCGTGTTAATATGTAGATTAAGATTGTAATTTCACAATGATAATATATCTTTCTTGTCATATAAAATTTCAAAGGCCGCTCTTGATGCATCATTTGTGAACCATACTCCATCCGTCCTAAAGTTTTCTTCCTAGTGTACTATTTCAACTTCGAGGGAATTTATATTTATTTGTGTTTTTCATGGCCTATATGATAAAATAAATATTCTTGTCACCACTTGTTTTGTTGAACTTTTGATGTAGTTTTTAAATATATATATTTTATTTTTTATTTCTATACCAATATTTAAATAAAATAGATTGAAAAAACTTGACATTTTTTTTCGTTTTGCGAACCGGGAAGAAAGATATAGGACGGAGGGAGTAATTGCTTTCAATTACAACCATAGTCTACAGATGTGGTCTTTTGTAGGAATCCTAACTCACAATCATAGTCATTATTTTTGTGTTTTTCGTCTTACTAATATCAGAATATGTCACTAGGCAAAAGGTTGATGTCAAATTATACGTTTAATATTTAAACTAATACTAATATGGTAAAAGATTAAAAAGAACCATTTAGAGAAAGCCACCATAAAAAAACTACGGGAGTACTATTTGACAATAGAAGACTAAATATGAAAACTTCTTGTTACTTCGTATATAAGACTAATTATGAAATTTTACCCTAAAAAAACAAAATAAACTTTGGTAACATAATTGTTTTTATAAAATATGTGTTAAAAGGTAACTATAAATTTTGTATACTCTCTATGAAAATATAAAAATACTTTAATTTAAATGATAAAATACAAAGCAAAAAATTTGTACATGAAGGTAGTTGCACAGTTTGCGCCCATAATCTAAATATCTTTTTTAGAAACACATCAACATATGTAAAAATATATGGTAATTTTTTCTCCAAGTTCATTTGATAAATTAAACATTAATGATTGGATCAATTTCGGGTCTAATCAGTTTCTGGTCTAATAAGTTCCGGGTTTAATCGATTTTGGATTTGACCAATTCGAGTTTAATCACTTTAGATTAAATCGAAGGGCAATGCTAGGGGTACACCAACATGGGGCACCCCAAGTGTACACCAAGCCAACACATACATACACAGACACAAAATGTCTGTGCAACACAGACAATTTGTGTCTGTGTGTCTGTGTTGGTTTGGTGTACATTTGGGGTACCCCATGTTGGTGTACTCCTAGCTTAATTCTAAATCGAATTCAAATTTGTACGTATCCGGTCTAAATACATTGAGTTTAGTTTGGGTTTAATTTGGACCATTTCGGGTGTTCAGTTCTTCAGTTTTTGGGTCAAAACATATCCGATTTTGGATTTTTCAATTTGGGTTACTAGGTCCGATTCAGTTTTGCCAAGTCTATTCCTCATGAATTATGTTTAGATTTTTCGATTAATATTTTAATTTAATTTTTGTTGTTTTTTCGTAACTAGTGTCTTTGTCTTTCTCTTGAATTATCTCTATATGTTTCGATTAATATTTTAATTTGAATAGTAAATGATGACCAGACATGTAACATGGTCAAGGTTTCTTTGCATGGAGTAATTTTATCTAATTAATTTCATGATCTAATTATGTCAAGATTGTTGTGTTTTTGATGGTTACTCTTTCCAAAATTACAAAATGAATTGGAAATGTGAATTTTAAAAAAACATACTTCCTCCGTCCCAGAAAATCTTTCTCTTTTCTTTTTTCACCCGTCCCAAAAAACACTTCTCATTTCTATTAAAAAGTCACTTTTACTCTTTACTTTTTCATACCCTACCTATCACATCATACATTTTTACTAATAATCTATCCATCAAATTATACTTTTACCCATCACATCAAAGGACATTTTTGGAAATTCAATACCAAAATACACTCCCCTTAAATCCACCCTCAAAATCAAAACTCACATGTTTTCCGGGACGGAGAGAGTATTATTTATAGAATATCATTTTTTAATATTTGTAAAATATTTTAAATTAAACTAGCAATTACTTCATAAATTATTGTCTTTATTATAATATAAAAAGCAAAATTTCTTATTTTTTTAAATTTCAAAATATTTACAATCTTTTTTGAAGTTCACTACTAGAATATGTTGATTTAGATAACATATAAAAACTTGTTACAAGTATCAAGAATACTCGATGATGATGATGATAGTCGTAGTAATAGTAGTAGTAGTAATACTACCTCCGTATGCAAAAAGACTTACCATTTTGATTTGGAGGCAAAAATAAAGAAGTGTTAAATCATAATTAATTTCTAATTTTGCCCCTGATGTGATGTATAAAAGTAAGATGTGATAGATAATTTACTAGATAAAAAGTATGATGTGATAGATATGATATGAAAAAGTAAGGGTAAAAGTAATTTTTTAATAGAAAAGTGAAGTGTTTTGTTGGAAATGAAAGAAGAAGTATTTTTGAGAACGGAAGGAGTATGTGTTTTTTATAATTTAATTTGTTATAACGCCTAATAAATCTTTAAAAATATATTACACACAATTATCAAAATGTTATTGCTACTTATGTTTAAAATACAAAGGATCTTGTAAATTATAAATTTTCCAAGATGCTAAAATTAAAATAAAAATCATACAAAAAACTCGAGATAAAAATAAATTTAAAATACTCCATAAAATATACTTAAATTACAAGAAAAAAATAAAATTGTATTAATAAAATAAAATTTTATGTTTGTCAAACAATGACTTATGCGTCAAGCACAAAGTTAATCATGTAAAAGAAAAGTTATATGTTAATTTGGAAGTCATATGGAATGTCACATGTACACTAGGAAGCCAAAGTGAGACGCCACATGTGCACTCACTAGCCAAATTCTTAAAATCCGGCAAGAGGCACCCTTTTGTTATATTTTTTAAAGATAAAATACATTTTTGTTACAAATTGAAGATGAGACTTTTTGGTTACAAAATGCAAAATTGGGATATCTTAAGCCGGAATTATAGACTATGAATTAATCCTAACGATAGATATATGAACCACGACTCTTGATGGATAAATTTCACAAATGGTACCTGAACTTTAGCTGGAATTTCGAAGTAGTACCTGAACTTCAAATCCTTTCACAAAAATCCCTGAACTTACACAATCCTTTCACTAATGAGCCATTAGCCCAATTCTAGGTTAACGGCGATGGTGAGTGGATTTCTTTTCTTTGTTTACCCGTGAGCCGTCGTCGACATCGAGAGATGGTAGCGTAGAGAGAGAGATAGTGGAATGGATCGCCGTTAACTGATAGAATTGCAAGATTAAAAAATCTAAAATAAAAAAATGCATCTCAACCATTCATTTAAATCATCTTTTAATCCAAGGGCTGAGATTATAGTTGTCATAGCATGACATTAATTACCTTATGTCAGCCGAACCTAGCTGTTGTTGAATTGGTGTACTGTAGGGGAACCTCAATGTATCCATAGATCACACACGTCATTATATCCAAAACCTCACTTGATCACAGTGGCGGAGCTAGGAGCTCAATGGCAGGGGCACATTATCAGACAATCTGGGGGGCAACGCCCTCAGATTTTTTAAAAAAACAAATACTCCCTCCATCCATGAGTGTTTGTCCACTTTCATTTTTGCACACCATCCAATGCATTTCTTTAATCCATTTTATCTTGTAATTTGTATATTAAAAAATTATATATCAATAATCTATATGTTAAGACGAATCAAGGCTTACACATTGAGAGAATTTGATGAGTCAAAACGCTTAGATGAACAATTCTAAATGTCAAAAGTGGACAAACATTCAGGTCGGACCAAGTATAAAACAATGAAAAAAATATTTAAAAAATTATCTCAAATGTTCAAAATATAATAATAAATTGACATTATTTATTATCACACAAAATTTAATTTTTTTTAAAAACAACTTTTTTTATCAAATAACACACATTTATCCATGGCTATAGTTTCAAATATAATATCATTAGTTGAACTTGAACACAAAATGAAGCAATTGTATATGGAGTAAATAATAGTATCTCAAAATAGTAAATACTCCATATTTATTACGGAGTATTATTAAATAATAATAATAATCATTCAAATTCAAACCAACTAAGACTATACAATTATAAATTACCACAATTTATCCCTTCCAAATAACAACAAATTAAAGGTCATAATAATTAAATAATTAAAGTTTTAAAGTAAAAAAACATGTGGTGAGATTGAATTAAGATAGAGGTGGAAGATGACAAACACTCTACTTTCTGCTCCTATGAACTGCGGAGTCTAGATTGAATTTGGGCGTTTTGGGATTTAGCAAGAAGCAAAGAAGTCAAAGATTCCAACGACGTCGTTTAGAGTTTTATCCTTATTAAAATAAAATGTAGAACGACACTGTTTGACGAAGAGGAAAAGTTATAGACGAAAATAGGCAGTCCACAGCTGCTGCACCAAGCGCGGGGGGCACCTTCGTTCCTCCATAGCTTGTCATACTCTCCAACCGCCGACGCCACTCTAATGCAACTCATCGCCGGAGCCTTGCCGGGGGGGCACGTGCCCCGGCATGCCCCCCCCTCCGCCCCTGCTTTAGATTCCTCATCCCTCTTTCTTCTCTTTCTTCCTGAGCTATCATTGTTATTCTCTTCCGCATTTGTTGCATTGCTGTCTTCAAAGCCATGTCGTCCACCTTCTATTTCATTAGGTTGGTCGATATCATCATCGGCTTCACTTTCCGTGGAATCATCATTCCCCTTCCTATCCATTGATAATTTCTTCTTTTTTCTTTCCTCTGACGTGTATCTACATCATCTGCTTAAGGATTCAGGAATCAGACCATGAAAAAAAACTCAGTCTCATACAAACAGCAATACATACCCTATTGAATGTGGGAAAAAAAGCCTTAACTGGTTGAAATTAAAAGTAATTAGTACCTAACTACCTGCCAGACACCAAATATAGGAATGATAGGAATGCAAATAATGAAATGAGCCCAAATTTGCTGTCTATACATTAGAAATATGGATGCGGACAAGCTCGCGTTTTAAGAGGACACTCTTTCAAAAATAGTGTGTTGAAAATATATTAATATGAGCAAGCATATGAAGAGGCTACAGAGTGTATATCAATGTGTGTGTGTGAGTACACAGTCACACTGAGCAAATTTGAAATTCTTCAAAAATATCGCAAGTTCGAATGCATCATCAAACCAAATACTGGGTTCTGCTTGATTATACTCCCATACTAAATGTTCAGGGAAAAACATTTCATCACAAGCATTAATAGTTTAATACACATATTTCCTTATCAAAATCACATCAAACAATCAGATATGTTTTTTTTCACTTGTAACAACAACCTTAACCGTAACAACAAAAGAAATTCAATACATCCACATTCTACACAAATTCTAATCCAATTCAGTCCACTCATGTTGTCATGATGCTCACATACATCTAACATTAAAACCATCAAGATATATACAATTGGCAATAACTACGCACCAACTTGTTGCGAAATCACATTTCACACAACAACATACACTCACAAGTAATGAACAAACCCTAAATCACAATTAAATGGGGTGTATAATCATACTCTATAAAGCACTTGTTCTTTGTATCCTCAGTCATTTTTACTTTACAAATTCAAGCAAAACCCTAGAATTAACTACAAGGGAGACTAAGAGCACATGGAAAAAAGGGTTACAATTAACCATGACTAAATGCTCAATAGAATTCCTTATTAGTAGACTCACAAAGAGAATCAGGCTCCCATAAACTACAACAATAAGGCCCTAATTCCAAACAAGAAAATCAGAGGCGGCAGACCAACTATTGCATAACGCTTATTACCTTACTTATTTTGTATTATCGTGTGATGAAAGTGAATCTTCAATTCCCTGATTATAACGGGAGGTTCTCACAGCCTTCCACCTTCAATTCTGGCTCATTTTTTAATTCTAATCTACTCACATAATTAGCACAATACAAACACACATATATTAATCTTACATTATGCTAGCTCTCCATGAATTTTGAAACAAAATACCCGGGTTTGTACTCCCACAAATCGTGCAATATACTGGCAGTAGCCAGGAAAGCTAAAATAGGGAAAATTACAAAGTTGGAAGAGAAAATACCTGTAAGTCTAGAATTGGAAGAATGGTAGTTATCATAACCAGGAGGTGTAAACGACAACAAAGGCTGCTGATCATCATGAGAGGGTGGGAAAGGAGCCGGCTGGTGCATATGATGAGGTGGGCCTAAAACTGATGCTGAGGCCCCACCACTAGGCGAAGCATTGTACTGGGTCGTTATTGGATTCATAGGCTGCTGCATCGTTGTTTGCCCAGAAGAAGAATGGAAAGGAACATAGGTACCATATGACTGTCCTACAGCCATTTGAAGCATGTAATGGTAGTAATAATGTTCGGTACCCCCAAACAGGAAATCAAAGTCAGGATTATTTTCTGCCTCTTCACGGACAATGTCATGGTACTCTGGACCCTTCATGATCACATAATCTAACAATTTATGAATCCGCTCAACGAGTTCAGGATCGGATGGTGGGGAAGGAGGAGGTGGTGGAAGATTACAAGTGCGATGGAAGGGTGACGGGGATGTGAGGTGAGAAGGATTGTGTGGTTGACCAGGGGTAGGCATGGGAGAAGAATGTTGCTGTTGTTGTTGGTGTCTGTGGTGTTGTTCCAAATTTGGGTCTTGTTGCAAGGCAATTTCATAATCATGAGATGGAGCGGTCGTTATTGGATTCGGAGGCTGCTGATTATGAAATTGCCTTGCAACAAGACCCGAATTTGGAAAAACACCACAACCACCAACAACAGCAGCAACAGCAACATTCTTCTTCCATGCCTACCCCTGGTCAACCACACAAGTCTTCTCACATCCGCGTCACCCTCCCATCGCACTTGTAATCCTCCACCACCTCCTCCTTTCCCACCATCCGATCCTGAACACGTTGAGCGGATTCATAAATTGTTAGATTATGTGATCATGATGGGTCCAGAGTACCATGGCATTGTCCGTGAAGAGGCAGAAAATAATCCTGACTTTGATTTCCTGTTTGGGGGTACCGGACATTATTACTACCATTACATGCTTCAAATGGCTGTACGACAGCCATATGGTAACTATGTTCCTTTCCATTCTTCTTCTGGGCAATTTCATATGATTAGGAAAATTTAATCTCAGTGCCCGGTCAAACCCTGAACATTAAAAATGGACGGAGGGAGTAATTATTTCTTCCAATCACTAAGCAGGTCTATGGTATAGCTAGTTGTGTGTGGGTGTGGGTGTGTGTGGGTGTGTTTGAGAGTTTGAGTGAGGTGGGCAAATATATGTGGGCCACGTCATCACTGACCATTAGATGTAAGCATGCACTAAAAGAGAACACCTTGGTGCTCTGAGTACCATGTGATGATGAAACGACTGAGCAAGAAGATTGATGCACCCCCTCACCCCCTCAGCACCTACTAGTACAATTTATTGAATTTAATTAAGATGGTGTGACATAAGTTGACAAATAAATTATAAGAATATTACTCTCTCTGTCTCACTCTCACTTGAATCTTTCCACTTTTCATTTCGGGCCGTCCCTCTTGAATCTTTCCATTTTCAATTTAGAAAGTTTCATCCATCCCTACCCAACTCTTATAAATGCTACCCAACCCCACTACACCCACTTTTTCTCCGCCACCACATACTCCCTCTAGTTCTTCTTTATCGTCAATCCACAACATCACCCGAACAGTTCTTATTCTTCGTCTCTCAACAACAACCCCCTTCCCCTAAAGTTCTTCATCGTCATCGTCAGTTTAGAGCCCCCACCACCCAAACACATTTGATTCATTGACTGCAAAATTGAAGAAAGGGTCACCTCCCGTTCCTATACAAGACGATTGGGAGGCGACATTTTTAGATCTAGGCAACATTTTCCTTTCAATATTTTTTTACTTTTTTCTAATTTTATCCTGCTCTAGACTTTGAAGCAATGGATCATAAATATGTCTCGTCCATCCATATGGGTGCTTCATGACGACAAAGAGTTTGGTGCATATGTCAGAAACATTTAGACAGGTCATAAGGTAATTTGTTTTGTATTTTTAAAAGAAATCGTTGTGGGAGAGGTCACAATAGAAGTTTCTATAAAAAAGAATAAGGGTGTTCAAATTGTTTCAAATAGAAAGGGAAAGCCATTGTGACCCTTGATGAGACACATATACTGTCATTTTCTTGTGATGTTGATTGATTAGGACCATTGTTATAGCTCTTTAGTTTGTGGTTTTCATCACAGAAGTATTTACACAAATTGTTCAAGTATATGCTTTGAGAAAAATGAGATGGAGCTCTTATGACATGTAAATGAATATTATAATTTTGGATTTTAATATTTTCAGTTAATAATCAAACAAATGAATTTTATGAAATAGCTATAAGGAATTCGAGAAGTCTATTTGAGGAGTCCCCTCCATCTATCTTATGGCCAACACATCTCTTTTTCTGGTGTAAATGCAAGTACTCTTTAATATAAAAAAACATTAAAAAAACCAAACCTGTTTCACATTCATTCTCAAACATAGTTATCAAGGCGTCGCCTAGGCGACGCTTAGGCGTCTGGGCGAAGCTATGTGGACGCCTAGTTGGTCGCCTAGCTTTTTTCTCCCTGGGCGACTTAGTGACTATCTTGGAGACGCATCTACGTTTTAGAAGCGCAAGGGAACGCGCGGGATAGAGAGAGAAGACGGAGGAGAAGATAGAATGAAGATTTATCTTTCTCGCAGATCATTTGTCGCGGTCTGCAGAGGCTTCCAGCGCTGTGTCTTTCTAACTCTCTATCATCTATCATTTAGACTAGTGGACTAGGTCAAATAACTGGGCTAGGTTCATTAAAAGACTATTGGACCTTTACACCAGAGTATAAGGCCCAAAATTTAATAGGCCTTTTAAAAGCTCCCTTTATTGGAGTAGGCTTTTATATATATATATATATATATATATATATATATATATATATATATATATATATATATATATATATATATAATACTCAATTTCATAAAGGTGGTATTACTGTTCATTTTAATTAATTATATCATATTATATGCTTTAACATTAGTACCTATAAAAATTTTATGGTCGCCATAACCCACTCGCCCAGTGGACGCCTAGTCGGGCGCCTAATCGCCTAGGCGATTGGAAGGTGCTCTAGCGCCCAGCCTCGCCTAGCCGCCATAACAACTATGTTCTCAAATCACAGTATCTTGCTGCAGTCAAATTGCTCAAGCTCCTTATCAGAGTTAAATGTCTAATCTTTACTGTCCTGGACATCTGCAAAAGCAGGATCTACAGCAGAGCCTCTTATCTTTTGAATCTTCTATCAAACTTTTTGTACAAAAGGTGTACTCTTTGTACTTCTATCATGGTGATTTCTTTAACTTCATCACCCATTATAAAATGTCCTAACCATGTGGGTGATTCTTAACCTTTATTCAAGTTTTTAGTACAAAACTCCATTATATCAAACTTGAAACCTTTCTATAACCATTTTCAAACATCCAAAAGGTTTTAACAGAATGGAAAAGGATTCAACAAAAATTGAAAACCCCAACACAGTCACCCGGTAGCTCGTACTGGCAGGCGGGATCCCTTACCATAACAATTTCTGTAAGAGAAGTTCTCATTTCACATCCAAAGGTCTTAAATGCCCTCCAACTAACCAACATTTATTTACTCTTGTTCGAACGTTAACCCCAACCTAGAGCTAATTTCAAATTTCTTAATTTTGGAAAGTAGAAGGCCATGTACCTTGATTACTCTCATAACTAAAAATTAAATTTGTGTTATAGCTAATATAGAGTATATTTTCAAATAACAATTCACATACGGAGTACTTGACTGTCAGTTTTAACTTTAGAATTAAGCTATTTGTACACCAACAATTGTACCCCATTTTATATCCAGAAGGCATATATTAATATTTTGTGCTAGTGTAATATTAATGTGATGATTTATATTGACACAAAATATCAGTGTAATTTTTTATTGAACTAGCATTATGTGTAAGTATGAATCATTAAAATACCGGTGCATCCCTTTTTTGTGTACCTCTAACATTGTTGTTAATTTTATAGCGGAGTTTCTTGACTTTCTTCCATATTGAAATCACATTAGTTCCAATCTAAGACCCCGTTCTCTTCAAAAAGTTAAGGGTTTCGGCCCGATCCACCCCTCTCCATCCCACATTCCCTTACACTCACTAAAAGATTAGGATTGCCGGTGAATGTTACGCAGTTGGCAAGGCAAGGAGTGTCAAGAGGGTAAGATTCGAGTTCGATTCCTGGCAACTGCACTGAAAGGAGTCTATGCTAAGCATGAGACTTCTACAAATATCATATGCAGGTTCAACTCTTTGCTATTCTGCGATTAAAGTCTAATTTACCTACTTTTAAGAATCGTCCGACTGGGTATGGGGAAACTTACCAAAAGATCAGAATTAAGCTCAAGATTGAATTGATATTGGCTTTTGCTCATGAGCAATGCTAGGGGTACACCTTTGGTGTACCCCAAATGTACACAATCCCCTTCTCTACCACCCATTTTTATTTTATTTTTATTTATTTATTTTTTTTGACTTTCTTGCCCTTTTTATGTGGACAAGGAGGGAGTGGAGAACAAATGGAGTACACCTTTAGTGTACCCAAAGTGTACCCCTAGTATTTTTCTTTGCTCATTGTGTAACTTGGGTCACTGGGTATTCGAAGATACTATACGCAATAGACATGATGTGACTGGCCATGACTGGTCTTTGTGTAAATTGGCTTTTTGGCACTCCTGCATGCGCACCTTCATGTACGGAGTGAGTATTCAGAGTTTTGAAAAACAATGGCCCTATCTACACTGTACAAGTCTGGTCAAACTCGAAATTATTGAGATCTGGACCAAATGGACTTATGGACTAAATATCCCTATTGGATCTATACTAATCCGTAAAATTCTACCGAGTACTTTTTATACTCTGTATTATACTTTGATGATCTATTTTAATAGATATCTTAATTTATTTTATTAAAAAGGCTTTTTATAAAGTAATTTTAAAAAAAATTAAAAAAATTCATATTAGTTTTTATGATTCTACATAGAAATGGTCCATTTTATACATATATTTTTAGGTTGTCTATTTTTTCTATTTGGCGGTACAAAATAAAAGCATAAAATATAGTATTTAACTGATCAAAATAGTTAAAGATATATATTTTTTAATATGTCCCAACCAATTTCGTCTTAAGTATTTCGGTCCAGTCCAGTCCAAACCTAAACAAATTTAGGTCCAGTTTCCAGCCAGTGATTTTGTTCAATTCGGTCTTCTTTCCCATCCAGCTCGGTCCGGTCTTGGATCGATGAACAACTCTAGTCCTATCTTTCACACAACAACATACACTCGCAAGTAATGAACAAACCCTAAATCACAATTAAATGGGGTGTATAATCATATTCTATAAAGCACTTGTTCTTTGTATCATCATCTCCGATGGAGCCAAAATTTCACCATTTTTTGAATCAAAATGGATCTCTAAATTGTCTACGCTTCTTTAATTAATGAAGTAGCAGTTAGTCAAGCAATGCAACTTTCGACGTTGAGCCGAGGGTCTCTTTGAAAACAGTCTCTCTACTTTCGAGTAGGGGTAATGTCTGCGTACACACACCCTTCCCAGACCCTACTCTTGTGGGATTTAACTAGGTTGTTGTTGTTGTTGACTTGTTGTTCTTTGTATCCTCAGTCATTTTTACTTTTCAAATTCAAGCAAAACCCTAGAATTAACTACAAAGGGGACTAAAAACGCATGGAAAAAAAGGTTACAATTAACCATGACTAAATGCTCAGTAGAATTCCCTATTAGTACACTCACAAAAATATCAGGCTCCCATACACTACAACAATAAGGCCCTAATTCCAAACAAGAAAATCAGAGGCGGCAGACTGACTATTGCATAAAGCTTATTACCTTATTTTGTATTATCATTTGATGAAAGTGTGTCTTCAATCACAGCCTTCCACCTTCAATTTTGGCTCATTTCTTAATTCTAATCTACTCACATAATTAGCACAATACCAGCACGCATATAATAATCGGACGTTATGCTAGCACTCCTTGAAATTTGAAACAAAATGCCCAGGTTTGTACTCCCACAAATCATGCAATATACAGGCTAAAATAGGGAAAATTACAAAGTTGGAAGAGAAAATACCTGTAAGTCTAGAATTGGAAGAATGGTAGTTATCATAACCAGGAGGTGTAAACGACAACAAAGGCTTCTGATCATCATGAGAGGGTGGGAAAGCAGCTGGCTAGTGCATATGATGAGGTGGCCCTAAAACTGATGCCGGGAAACCACCACTAGGCGAAGCATTGTACTGGGGAGCAATTAACGGTGATGGAGCGGTCGTTATTGGATTCGGAGGCTGCTGCATCTTTGTTTGCCGAAAAGAAGAATGGAAAGGAACATAGCTACCATATGGCTGTCGTACAGCCATTTGAAGCATGTAATGGTAGTAATAATGTCCGGTACCCCCAAACAGGAAATTAAAGTCAGGCTTATTTTCTGCCTCTTCACGGACAATGTCATGGTACTCTGAACCCTTCATGATCACATAATCTAACAATTTATGAATCTGCTCAACGAGTTCAGGATCGGATGGTGGGGAAGGAGGAGGTGGTGGAGGATTACAAGTGCGATGGGAGGGTGACAGGGATGTGAGGTGAGAAGGATTGTGTGGTCACCCTCCCATCGCACTTGTAATCCTCCACCACATCCTCTTTCCCCACCATCCGATCCTAAACTCGTTGAGCGGATTCATAAATTGTTAGATTATGTGATCATGAAGGGTCCAGAGTACCATGGCATTGTCCGTGAAGAGGCAGAAAATAATCCTGACTTTGATTTCCTGTTGGGGGTACCGGACATTATTACTACCATTACATGCTTCAAATGGCTGTACGACAGCCATATGGTAGCTATGTTCCTTTTCATTCTTCTTCTGGGCAAACAAAGATGCAGCAGCCTCCGAATCCAATAACGACCGCTCCATCACCTTTAATTACTCCCCAGTACAAAGTACAATGCTTCGCCTGCTGGTGGGACCTCGGCATCAATTTTAGACCCACCACATCATATGCACCAGCCGGCTCCTTGCAACAACCCTCTTTTGTCCATATTAGCTAGTGACTAGTGGAGACATATGACAATAATGTGACCATTTTGGCCTGAAAATGGCCACATAAAAAGTAAATCATAAATATGTCTATCAACCACTTTAAAAAATATTGTGTTTTGTTTTCAATAATAGGAAAGATAGGGAATAAATATTTTGTATGTGTTAAAAGAAATACAAAATCAAAATTTTCAAAATCGTAGAAGTTCATATCATCAAAAGACTTCGAAATTATTTCTTTTCTTGTACCTAACCATGGATACTTCCTAAAACATATAATGAAACATACAATGATTTCTTTTAAAATTATGAAACAAATTACCTCATGACCTGTCTAAATGTTTCTGATTTATGCACCAAAATCTTTGTCGTCATGAAACACCCATATGGATGGACGAGACAGATCTATGATCCATTGCTTCAAAGTCTAGAGCTGAAAATAATTAGAAAAAAGTAAAGAAATATTGAAAACACACATATGGATGGCGGAGACAGATCTTATGGCACCTAAATGAATACGGAGTATTACGAAGTATAATTTTATATTTTAATAATTTTAGTTATGAATCGAACAAATGAATTTTATGAAATAGCTATAAGGAATTTGAGAAGTCTATTATAAAAGAAAAACCATACCTGTTTCCCACTCATTCCCAAATCAATGTATCTTGCTCATAAATGACTACAACAGGGCCTCTGAATCCCGGAGCTCTCGCATCTACTATCTACTATATATATATATATAAAAGCTTATGGGAAAATCAGTCTCAATTTCAGCTCCAATTTTCCCGCCAAAAATACATAATCCAATGGTTATTATTAGTTTGGGACACTTGGCACAAATCCATGCAAGACCCAGATCTCAATCACAATCACAAACAAATGCATCACAACCCATCAACTTTACAATCAAAAGTGGACAAAAATTTAAATATAATGCATCACAATCCATGCAATTTGGCCGAGGCTTCAATTACTCTACCATACATTCCTTGAACCTTCCCTTTCATCCCCACGAAAATCTGACAGATTCAGTGTTCAAGAGATTTGGATATGGACACCAAAAAAATTCAAATACTATTTCAATTTAATGAAATACTAGAAATTAGAAATATGAAATTTCCAATTTCCATGGCTGCAACCAAGATACAAATCATATCTTCCAATTGCAATAACCCTGCATTGGAAAATACACAAGGCTATCATCACAGCCTCTTAAAAAAATCCAGTTGTATTCCAATTATCCTGCCCAAAAAACTGAACAATGGCTACTACGGTTTGGGGTAATTGACCGTGGGCCCAGTATTGATCTTGAAGAGCAGAAAAGACTTGGAGGTGTTAAGAGATATCATCTAGAGGAATTTGAAACAACAAATGCAGAAAAGTTGAAAAGGCCTAAAAAAACAGTTAAGGGTCAGTGGATTTGAGAATTCTTATATGAATACAGCTTTAGTGCCTGCAATGTTTGAAAAATTCCTCCATTTGAATACTATTTTCAAATATGTATTTGTGGACAATTACCATTTCAGCTTATTATTAATGAAAACTATTTCTGTTTCTCTTCCAAGAGCCTCATTGCATTACACAATGTGACAATACCAAATAGTTAAAATTGGGGTTCAAGCCAGTAATAATTATTAGAATATATATATATATATCTATTAAATAGAATATGGAAAATCAAAATAAAACTTTTGAAAGAGCTATGATATAATAAAATGTAAAGAAAGATACCTTAAAAAATACACTCACGATTTAATGTATACTTTTCTTTTAAAATACTTGATTGGGTAGAAAACACTTGGCCATTTTAAATTGAATTTATTTATAAATCAGTACACATTTACTAATTATAATTCAATGAGCTGTTAAAAATATCCCATAGTTTAGAAAAAATCGTTTTCTTTAGGTAAACATTAAAAAAATTTAGAGTTAGTCATTGTTATGTCTCCCATATAAAAAAAGCCAGAGCATATAATAGTAACTAATTTTTCCATTAGTACAAGTGATAGACACCTTTCTGTCATTTTCTGCCTGGACAAATAAGCCTTCTCTAAAGCAGTGTGATCAAAGGCATTATATAAGAGTACTGATGCTTTTCCAGTCTCCACATATTTTCTAAAGCTTCACAAGAAATGAAACCCTCATATTCGATTGACAAACAGCAATGAAAACGAAAGGGGCTTCATAGCAACACAGGTAAACATATATTTTCTTTAAGAACTTATTTAATTGTGTGTGTGTATATATATTATATTAAACATATTACTCCTCCGTCCCTGAGTGTTTGTCCACTTTCATTTTTGCACACCATCCAATGCAATTCTTTAATTCATTTTATCTTGTAATTTGTATATTAAAAAATTATATATTAATAATCTATATGTTAAAACAAATCAAACAAGATCACACATGACTATTTTTAGGCTTATACATTGAGAGAATTTGATGAGTCAAAAAGTGCTTAGATGAACAGTTCCAAAAGTCAAAAGTGGACAAACACTTAGGAACGGACCAAGTAATAAATATTTTGAAAATATTAATAAAAATTCAGGGAGGCATTAGCTTCAAAAAACATTCCAACACACACTGATTTTTTTACACTTTAAAAGGCATAAATATTTACTAAGAATTAATGTTTTGTTATTGAGGAAAAATATTTTAGGGCAAAATTTCAGTGTAACGTTGAGTAGTGACTTATAGTACATACAAGTTATTATTGCCAATAAGATCTTACAATGCAAATAGTAACAACTTACTTCATCAAACTTCATTACAGCATATTAAACACCCCTGAAAAAAAAGAAATTTACTTTAGCATACACTGCTAGATTTCAATCTTAGTATACATTTAAATATAATTTAAGGAAACTCACCACAGAAATAATTTGTCTTTGGCCGGTAACAGACCCCAAATAAACATAGAAAACAGTATTCTTCACGTTGTAATGCTTTTAAATAATATATAAATATTTTTCTAAATCACAGAGGGGGTTTGTATTAGTGCTGGGTGATTTTTCTATATTTTTATAAATTTAAGAAGGATTTAACAAACTAGAAGATTTTTTTAAATAAAAAACACTTTTATGTAAACGAATAGGGTAAATAAAATTTATTTGAAATTTATGTCCCAACCCAAAAAGACAGAAAAGGGCAGCATATACAAGTTAACTGATTTACAACAGAAAGAATAGAGAAGGGCAGTGTAAGGAAGCTAAAGTATTTTCGAATCCAGTGTGAAATTAGTGTCAAGATCTATACATTTTTCGCAAAACAATTATTTAGTGAAATATATGAAGAAATATTCTGGAAATAAAAGTAAGGCATGTTAATTGAATCAATATTATACCTTTTCCCAAGCAAAACAAATGGTCATAGATCGGAGGCCCCCTCTGTACAGACCTTAAAGGTCAAAATCCTCCTATTTACAAGAGCAGCAGGAAAAAATTCCCGCCTAAAGTTTTGGGCCAATTTCCTTTGCAGTTGGGCCGAATAAACAGGTGAAGGTGGTTCTGATTTTAGGCCGGTAATATTGGGAAGTTATTTTTTATTATAACCAGTTATACTTGAAATTTACTAATTTAAACTTATTAATTTCAAATTAATTCAATTATTTAGAATTTCATACGATACTAATTTTACAAAAATCCCTTAATCACAATTTCATGTAATCACTATAAAAAATCATATTTTTTTATTGAATTACATTTAATAAAATTTAGTTATTACTTAACTTATGCAAAAAAAAACATGGAGAACATTTGGAGAAAATAAAACCATATATATGAAAATAAACCAAATGATTTATCACAGTTGTTAGCAGTTTCTTTATTGAATAACAAACTTAATACTCTGTAATAAAAACCGCAACTCCTCCATTTGCCACCCCATTACCCATGAATTGAGGAAAGTCACCCTCCCACCTTTTTTAGAACTCCTCCACCGAGTCCCCTGTCCCATTCTTGATCAGTATAAAAGGAATGGAAATCTCTATGTTTCTTCGCAAGCCTTTTCACTTCATGGAATCACTCAAAGCTTGCAAACACAAAACAAAAAAAGTCAGTTCAACCAAGGGGAGGTTTCGGACAATGGTCTCTTTTGAAAGATGTGGATGACAGCAAAAATGAGGGGCTCTTCGCATACATGTTGTTTGTGGGTACGATGTGCCAACATGTGATAGACTGTAAATACTTTGACAATATATACATATTTTTTGTTCAGTTTTCTATAGTATTTTGACGTTAAACCATTTTCATGTGTGTATATATGTATGTATATATATAAATATACACACACACCAACAAATACACCTCCACAACATTTTGATGCATGATCGTGTTCACACAAAAGTGTTAAGTGGGTGGTTTTTGACAAAGCTACCAGTTTTGCTATAAATCTGTTGAGAAAAAAAGCATGCACGGTCCCTATTTGTGTAGAAATGTATAGTGGGTGGTTATTGGTAAATGAACTGTTATCATCCTCTCCCCCACCATTGCTCCCTTTTAATTTACTAGAAATTACCTGATTAAATTTTATAGATCTTGGGTCATTCATTCAAGCCATAAGCATGCAATTACCTACAAGATATAGAGTTGGTTTTAACTTTTTACTCCAAAAATAAACCCGGCATTATACATTTCATATGACATACTAATTAAACTAATATATTAGAGAAGTATACATTTTATGGGGAAGAAAAAAGAGACACATAAAGGCATCTACCATTAAAAAGTTTATATTAATCAAGTAGTCAGTGAAATTCAATTGATAAAAAATCAGTGAAATTTCTTTTTATAAAAAAAGTTAATGATATATGTATTTAAAAAAACTAAAGGAATCACTATTTGTATTCGCTGAAACACGAATCAAAAATCACTATATGTATTGAAACCCTAATCAAAGTGAATGCTATATGTATTTAAGAAAATCAAAGGAATCACTATATGTATTGAGAAGATTCACGACAACCATTTATTTAATGTTTAGATTGTTTTATGATGTGATGTTAATAGTATAACAGTGAGCACACCTCAATAGTCTGAAAAATAATAAAATTGGGACATAGCGATGACGTTGTGAGATTAGTATTTTACATCTCAAAAATGAAAAATAAAATATTTTTGGTATATCGTAAAATATTTGAATCACAAAGAAAACAGAAATATTTGAGTTAAACAAAATAACAACAAATTTTGTAATGGTCTATGTCTATAAAGTTTGAATAAAAATCTTTCAAATTGTAATAAATCGTGATTATCAAACGGAGCTGAGCTAAGATTTGAAAATAAAGATATACGGAGTATTAACTTTATATATCACGTAATAATTTATGAAAATCTCTGCAATTCTAAATACTTAAAAATAAAAAAAAATATTGTTAGATCTACGAGTAAAAATAGAGATCTAGGGCAATACTAAAACAAAAAAAACTGATATAAATCAATCGAAGTCTGCACCATAAACTTTTGATGACCAAGTAGATCGGCCGTAGTCGGCACAGAAAATTTAAGGTCGAGCAAAAAAAATTCGAAAACATAAAATAAGTCATGTAGACTTCGATCGGAGGTCGTAGACTTCATTTTCATATTGCATTTGTTTATATTAAGTAAATCGCATTCAATTCGATCTTAGATCGTAGACTGAAATTTCTTATAAAATCTGTATATGTGCAAGAAAAGAAGAACATGCAAAAAAGAAAACTAAAAAATCAGGAAAACAATCATTAAAGATCACTTATACACGAAAGAGAACTCAACTCTTCTAAAAAAAATATCTGTAAACATCCCGATCAAAAATCAAAACAATAATAGCCGAATAAAAATTAGGGAGCAAAAATTCAAGATAAAGAAAACAATTGAAACTCATATATGATACAACCAAGGAGAGTTCTAGACTCAGAGCGAGAGAGATCCATCGATAGAGAAGATAGAACAACAGATTGGGAGCGAGAGAAAGCTGAATATTGAGAGAGCGATGAAGAGATCTAGAGAGAGAAAGGCGGCGAGCCGGCAATTAAGTATTAGGGTATGAACACAAGATATGTACTCCTATTAGGCTGGACTGGAGGTGAAAGCGGTGGGCTTAAGCCCGGAAGTATAATATATGGGCCAGACCGCCAGACATATCATCTTTGAGTTTAATGCTATCTCCATTCCGAGTATTTGCCTAATTTTAATTTTTTCAGTCAAATTTTTATAATTTAATAACTAATTAAAATAAAATTGATATTAGATATTGTAGAAATAATATTTTTATTGCATTTATTTTATACTCGGTACTATATTTCTAAAATGTTACTCCTATTTTATTTGTTGCAAACAAACTTTAATACTTTATTTACTAATTAAAATAACTTTAATATTAGATAGCGTAGAAATAATACTTTTTTACATTTATGTGGTACTATATATCCAAAATGATATTTTAGTTGATTCATATATATTTTTTGAAAGGTTGTAGTTAATTAATCTATGATATTTAATTATGTTTTAAATGTAGTTTATCATGCAAACTTTGACTTCTAATTAAGTAAAATTGATACAAAAATTGAATATAATATAATGAAGTTGTATTCCCAAGGCTTTTTTTATTCCTTTAGATAAAAAGATTCCTTTCAAGTTTCAAAGAAAGTAATTTTGCAGTCGTGACTTCCTATGTAATGACCATTTAAAAAAATTAGAGGCAATATTTATTGCATGTTAGCTTACTACTTACGAAAAAACTACACTTGAGAATCATGATCTTAAGTTACGATTAAGAGAACAATGTTTTGGACTACACTTCAAATGTTGCATATAGAGAAGTCTTTCAGAAGTTATAATTCGCGCTATATGTTTAATTTATTTATTTATATATAATGCATTCTCAAATAATTAAAAACACTATGAAGGATATTGTCATCTTAAATAGGCAGTACTTGAGTGTGATATGTACTGAAATTTGTTATATATCATATTTACTCATTTTAATTTATTTATTTTTTACATAAATAAATAATTTATTGTTGTGTTATTTTGACCGTGCATCGCACGGGTAAAATCTAGTTTAGATAAAAATGAAAGTTTTCAGATCGAGGTGCAGAGTTGTAGAAGTCTCGGTCTTTCATTGGAGACCGACTTTACCAAAAAAATAAATTTTGATCATGCAGTAAAAACATATAAATCTTCAAAGAAACACCGAAAATTTTCAAAAAAAAAAAAATTCAATACAAATTTAAAAAAGGTCTATCATCAGAGACCATCCTCAATAACACCAAAAATAATAGACCCGTTTCTAAAAATATAGATCTTACCAGATTATGCATCTGCAAAGAAATCTATAAAATACTCCGTAAAAGGTATAGATCTTCAAAAAACACCGACAAATTAGTAAATCATAACATATTCAATAAAGGTCTATCATCGGAGATCATCTAAAACATAAATTTTATACTCCCATAGTAGATCTATATTCAATAACACGAAAAAAAATAAATATTATTGAAAAATATAGATTGTATCCCATGGTAGATCTATGAATATATTTATGAAAATTATTTCCAAAAATTACAAAGCATACATTGAAAGGATTGAACAAACAATGAGACGTATTAAGGCCTCGGCCTGTCGAAAATGAAGAAGAGATAGAAGCAATGAAGCATATGTCGAAAATGAATGGTGAGAAAGTGAGCGGCGGCAATTTAGGGTACGGTTGTAGGGAGGAGAGTATATTTGGCCTGGGCCTGTTCGAAAATTGAATTTGGGTTTTATCCTGATTTTGTTAAAAATAAAGATTAAACGAATATCGTTATGAACAAGTGATAGAGATATACCTTGATAGCACAAATCAAAGATCAAAGTATAATGGAGAATCAAAGGAGAAACAATGCAATGAGATCAATAGACTAAGGAGAAGGATGTCACATTTCAACATATGGAGCCTCTATTTATAGGCTTACAAATGGGAAAAGCAAAGGTCTAACTTAGACATGGAGAACATCAAAAGACATTTGTACATAACACTCCCCCTTGGATTTTGGATGTTCACCATTTAGGTAGACTTGAGCTTAAAAACACTGCCTCGTTAAAACCTTGCCAAGAAAAACCCAATGAGACAAAAACTTGGACGAAGGAAAAAGAGTACAGTGCTTATAATGCTCCCCCTGGACATGGCAAAAGATCCTTGAGTTGACGCATTCCAATACCATTGATCATCTTCCTAAATGTCGTAGTTGGCAATGCCTTTGTGAATAAATCCGCAAAGTTATTGCATGACTGTATCTGACGAACCTCAATGTCTCCATTTTTCTGAAGCTTTTGTGGATAGAAGAATTTTGGTGATATGTGCTTTGTCTTGTCGCTTTTGATGTAGCCACTTTTAATTTGTGCAATACAAGCAGCATTATCTTCATAGAGTAATGATGGAGCCTTATTCAAAGATAATCCACAAGTTTCTCGAATGGGATGAACCATTGACCTTAACCATATGCATTCTCGACTTGCTTCATATAGCGCCATTATCTCTGAGTGGTTTGACGAAGTTGCAACCAGTGTTTGCTTTACTGATC